CTATAGCTGAACTATTTTCCAGATTTCTTATGCCTATTGCAGTCAATTAATCTAGATATCAACAAAAATTGTAAAAGCTACATCGATTTTGGTGAGATGGTTAGTACACGTGTTGCGCTGACTAGCAATGTGAGCTGACATAGGGTTACGGGTAGCCAAACTAAAACTTCTGATGAGTCCATGAGGTCTTTGATTGTTTCTCTAAGTCACAATTTTGTAGGTCCTCGAAGCCGTAAGAATCAATGACTGGAGACTGTTGTTATTGCCACAGATGCATTCACTATATGTGACCTCCCATATCTATCAAATCTTGATGGTTTTCAATGTTAGTACGCTTTCTCTTGTTCATTTTGGTTTTTCCTCTGTCCTAACTTTGTGGGCTATGTGAAGTATGGCAAGTTGAACTGCTTCACCTTTGTGCCAGGCTCTATGTGTTGAAACTCAGTCAGTCAGTAGTAGTGGTAGTAGTCAACTTGAAAAAGTGGTTGTTATTCATAAGAGTGGTATCCCAAAGGTTTCTGTCTGTCGGTCTGTCTGTTTTCGACATAGAACTTTGTACATATGTGCGGAAGTTCAAGTCGCCACACTCCCTCCATGTAGCACACAAAGCAAGAGAAGAAAGTACAAGAAAAGCATAATAGAGACAGTAAACAGAGGTGTGAGACAAAGGAGGAGTAATAACGAAGAACAAAACAGTTTCGTTGGAGATCATAAGTCACAAGGAGTGGATGCATCTGCGCCACTGAGAACGATGAGTTTGAGCCATGTCACCAATTGTTTCCAACCATAGATTTTTACCGTCCCGAGGACCCCAGCCTGGAAGTCTACACCTTCCTACGTGGCTTAGACCAACTGTTGTGGATTTCATTGACTGGTGCCAAGTTTTTGTTTGACCGCCGCTAGCTTTTTTCCAGCCTGACCCTATATCCGCTTACATTGCTCGTCGAGGGAGGCGATGACTTGGCATACGTAACACATGTCCTAACCATCTCAGTCCTTGTAACTTCACGACTTCGTCGATTGATTTCCCCTGTTTACCTAGCACTCGACGGCTAACCTCAGTGTTGCTCAACTTATTATGCCACTTCAAGCGGGAGATAGAACTCAGGCGCCTACGATCAAAGACACCTAATCTTTTTATATCTTCCACTCTCAATGGCCAGGTCTCACTCACAGCCATAAAGGAGGACGGATCGGAATGATAAGCAGTACACCCTCCCTTTGGTCGATAGTCGAATATCTCGTCTACTCCAGGGACGGCGTAAACTGTGATTATCACAGGAAGACTTGTCTCCCTTCTTGTATATGAGGATAATCAGTGACTTACACCAACCCGATGGGATTTCTTCTGATTCCCAGACGCTGCTTAGAACCTCAGTTAATGCAGACAGTAAACTGTCTCCACCGTACTTAAATACCTCTGGAGTCATTCCATCAGGTCCCGCTGCTTTGCTTTGTTTCAGATTGGTGACAGCTTTGGTAACCTCAGTTAGGGATTGAGGACCTGTGTCTATATCCCATTCAGGGAGGTGCTGGATGTTCGGAAGGTTGAGCGTGACTGTGGGCCAATTAAACTGCTCCTCATAATGCTCTTTCCAGCGGTCCAGTCGTTTATCCTGGGAGCTAATTATAGTGCCATTTTTTCCGAGATTGTCTCACTGATGATTTGTCTTCTCCCACCCGTTTCCCTGATGAGTCTTAACAGTTGCCTGGTGTTGCCTATCCTCGAAGCTTTCTCCATCTCTTTGGCTTTTGTCAACCACCACTGTTCACGGTCCTTGCGGAGACTTTTCGTAAGTTTCCTTTTGTGCAGCTTTCGCTCCTCATTGAATTCGGAGCTCGCCGGAATAAGTCTTTTAGCACCTATCAGTTCGGATGAGGCGGTGGAGATCCAGTGGTTTTTACTCACCTTTGGATTTACCTTATTCACAGCTTTTACAGCTGAATTTATGGCTGCTTGGATATTCTTCCAAGCTTCTTCAGGGTGAGCACAGCTGTCGAATACAGATATGTGTTTAGCTAGTTCTTCCTCAAATACGTATTTAGTTTCCAGATCGATCTGGGGACGTGATGGTTTTACCGCCAGCTGTTTCGTACGTCCGTTCAGTCGTAAGAACACCCGAGCGCGGACCAGTGCATGATCGGTATCTACACACGTGTTCCAGAAGGAGCGACAGTCTTCTACCGACCCACGCCAACGATAGCTTATTGCTATGTGGCCTGTTTGTGTCCAGCGTTGGTTTGGTGAAGGGGGTCTCCAAGTCAAACAGTTTCTCTCCTTGTGTTTGAAGTTAGTGCTTACAAGAAACAAATAATTATCTGAACAGAACTGTAGATCTGTAGTTTCTGTACCGGTTTCGATTCGCTAGCCCAGAGACTGGATGGAAAGAGCGGAGGGATGTGTCAGCCTATGACCTGGGTTGTTGGATGTAGGTTATTTATGTTAGGTCAACATTGGTTTGTACATCACAACTCAGTGGTTAGAGTCTATGAGATAGATAGTTCGAATCGGTGGCTCGAAATGTTATCAGATATGGGTAGGAATCGAAATAAACGGCGAATCTACTGCAGTTGCCTTCTTTCTTCTCTTTCTAAAAGTTAGATGAAGTGATAAGTGTTGAGTTATGATGATGGATTGCCTTCTTGTTGTCTTTATAAAGTTGTTGTTTGGTATCCATATTATACCAAGCTTATGTTTTAATTAAATGAATAATTATACTAATGTTTGTATAGATGTAGTGGTTGGTTAGTATTTTCAGTTTTCTAAAATTACCCATTCTTACAATCCTGTAATATCAAGTATAGGTTGTTTTCGGGATTTGATTGATTGATTACAGGGTTTGATCATGAGCTGACATCGGTAAGAGAACCATTGGAAAACCAGCTGGGAGTACTGGACAGTTGCTTCGTTGTAGTTTGAGTCCCCTGTTCAGTACGCTCCCACTGTCGGGGTTCGAACCCAGGAGCTTCCGGTTACAAGTCGAGAGCTAGCTCGTAGACCATTCAGCCACTTTAACCCGATCCAATGGCCAGCCCATGAATTCTATCTATCTATCTATTGCCAATTCATGACATGTGGTGACTACTTTGCAGTGTCTTCTTCGATGAGTTACCGCCTTACCTTCAACCTGCTGTACCGGCTTCCCACTGAGAACCCCAGGTAACTTCCTGAATAGAGCATCAATCAATTTTGAAGTATTGGTTATGTAGGGATTTTTTTGATTGGTTGGAGGATTTTATCAAGAGCTGACATAAGTACTCTCTGGTTTTCCAATGGTTCTCTAACTGTTATCAGCTATTAATGAAATCCTTCAACCAATTCTGTATACCTTTCCAGTTCATAAACTGTACGTACTTTGGGTGATTTTCTTTTATTATTTTATTCACTGTCTATCGTCAGAGATGTGGGTGCCTCTACTGGCCTTAGTACTTTATTTTAAGCACTCATGGATTCGAGTCTCAATTAATCTAATTTACCCTGGGCACTTGAGTAGTACCATCAAGTCATAGCTTGGTACATGTACAGGTAATTGAGATTTATCTACTTTCAGTGTCGGAGTTCTATTCAATCGAAAAGTGGGTACTATACTAATTCGTAACACATGCCTCTTCCATAACGTTAAGCTTCGAAGGATTATATAATTTCCAATAATTAATCTAAGGAAGTTGCCTTAAACGACCTAGAAAGAACCATTGGAAAACCAGACAGTACCGAACAGTTGTTCCGTAGTGATTTCAAACTCAACAACTTCAGCAGTACTCACCCACCCCGGAGTCTAACCCAGGACTTCTCTGTTATAAAGTGAGGTCATAGACCATTGAAACACTGGGAATGAATCAAGTGGCCTATGAATTTCAACTTCTACTAATTCGCTATATATATATATACAATACAAGGCCGCCAGCCAATGTCATAAAGTGAGTAACTCTACTCTTAATTGACATTCTGAACCTCGCCGATTTTGACTTCTCATATAAAACTCTAGGTAACTTCCCGTATAAAGTTAGTCGTTAGTGAGCATCAGACTGATTTTCAAGTTTTGGTTTGCGGGCTAACATCCCTTGGAGAACTATTGAAAACCAAAAGGGAGTGCTACATAGGTGTTCCACCTCCTAGGTAGGTACTTGTCGATGAGACACTGTGCGGTGGTCGCGCTATTTATATTTATTATTTATTACACATTAACAGAGTATTGGTTTGTAGGGATTTGGTTGATTGGTTACAGGATTTCATCATGAGCTGACATTGGTTAGAGAACCATTGGAAAACCTGGGAGTAGCCTACAGCTGTTTCGTCCTGGTTTGGCACTCTTCAACAATACGCACCCACCGGAGTTCGAACCCAGGACCTTGTGGTTGAAAAGCGAGCTCGTAGACCATTAAGCCAGCAGAGGGAAGTCATGACCGGTAGGGTGCAGCTGGTCGGTGTGAGGTCAAATACTTGCCGAAGACATTGGCTAGCGTTTGCGCTATATCGTGAATTAGCAGAAGTTAGAATTCAAGGGCCATTGGATCGGGTCCCAGTGGCTTAATTGTATTCGAGCTTGCCTTGTAACCAGAAGGTTAAGGTTTTGAATCCCAGTGGATGCGTACTGATGAAGAGTCCCAATCTAGGACGAAACAGCTGTCCAGTACTCCCAACTGGTTTTCCAATGGTTCTCTAACTAATGTCAGCTCATGATGAAATCCTGTAACCAAACATAAACAGAGGTTAGATGGGATGGGAATTCTGTTGAATTCTATCTGGCTCAATGGTTGAGTTGTCTATGAGCTCATTGTGTGTAACTGAAAGGTTTTGGGTTTCAACCCTAGCAGGGTGCGTGCGGGTGAAGAGTTCTTTCTAGATAAGGACGAAATAACTAGCTAGCTATACAAATACACAGATAAACTCATGAACAGTTAGTTTTTTTTTATTAAAGTTTGGTTTTTATTATTCCAATGATGAGATATCGATTTTTTTGTTTTGTTTTTTCTCTCTCAAAATGCATATTTTTTTCCAGTTGGTTTGCTCCTGTCAAACCATTATTCATTATAGCAATGTTTGTTAGCTATTTATTACAATATTATGTACCAGCTACAATATTTAGTCGTTTAATGGAAAAGATAAAATGTCATCGTGAAGGATCGAATCGTCGAAGATATGTTCACTTGAAGGCGATGCGTATCAGTCTAGTGATATTATCATGTAAGTAAAATAGTTTTATTGAAGTATTTTTATTGAAGGCAGATCGGTTTTAACAATTTTTATTTTTTTTTACATTGTACTTATCTATGATACACTTTGATTTCTGCGTACTTGATATTATTACTATTATTATTATTATTATTGTAATTTTGAATTTTTTATAATTTTACTCTTTCTGTTCTTCATGTGATAATTGAAAAAATTAAAATGGTTAGGTTGATAGCGATTTACGCTTTATAGTACAATAAAATAAAGTTCTCAAGGAATATACGGCGCTTATTCGTCTTAGTATATGACATTAAATTCGATGGATCTCAGGGGTGTTCGAACTCCACTGCACTTACAACATTATAATAAGACTCAGTAGTGTCAGCAGCTCATCACCGGGGTTCCACCACCAGGTGGGGGATGTCAAAACAAATGCTCTTCAATGCTATTGGTTGGTTGACGGTGGTGGCGGCGTTGAAAACTCGTGGATTGGTATTGTTTCCTTTAATTCATAGAGTAACATAGGGCTTCAGCTACACGTCTCCATTCCGTTGGGTTCTCTGCCAACGTTTTCACCTGGCCCCAGGTCTGCCCACATGCTTTCATCTCCTCTTCACATGACCTCCTCTATGTCACCCTCGCACTGACGACAAACTAACTCGCCGCTTCCCATTCGGGTTCCACTTGAGCTATATCCTGGCGTGTGATGTCACTTGATGATTTGTTTTCTCAGAGGATGGCCAACCCACCTCGATTTCTTTCTGCTTATTTTTTGTACATTCAGTTCCTGCTGGGTTGGTTCGCTCGCTCTCAGAGATCCCTTTTTCATATCTCTTCTGACTGGCCATCCGATCGTGAGTATTGAGCGAAGAAAGCTGTTGGTGAAGGTCTGTAGTTTGTTTGAGGCGCTCTTCATGACGCGGCGCGGCGCCAAGTCTCTGATCCGTATAGTAAGTAGCACTGACTTCACATTGGAGTTGAAAATCCGGTTGTTATTTTCATTTTCATGCTGAGTGCTGTTGATCTGTCTCCACACAGAATTGGGAGAAATGAAAGCCTGCCTTGCTTTCCCAATCTTCGCTGCTTTGATATCTTCGTCAGTTCCGTCCGCGTGTAGTTAAAACATTGCTTCCCAGGTCGGTCGGTCGGTGGATGGGTGATGAAGGTTTTTTCGTTCAGGTTCCTCCCATTTATGCTGGCTGATTGTTGTCTGTTGTTGTTGATGCTGTTGGTGTTGACCAGGAATCTTCATCACCACATCTTTTTACTCTATGTTCACCTGAAATCCTATCATCTCTGGATGCTTCTTCTGCCACCTTGTTGCTTTTCACTTGCATATCCTCCAGTTTGGGGGAAATCAGACATATACCATCATTGGTGAAGTCCAGATCCTTCAAGTTTTTTGTGTAGGTACATTTTATGCCTGTTTCCTTGTTGCCCGTCGCTGTCTGTCGCATTATCCAATCTACCAGAATCAAGAAAGTCATTGGAGATAGTGGGCAGACAGCCAACCAGCTTGTCTTACTCCCGTCCTCACTTCGAAGGCTTCAGTAAGTTTCCCGTTGTGGATTACTTGGCATTCAGCATTTTCGTACAACTGTTGGATGAGATGTATAATTGTCGATGGGACCCCGTAGTAGCGAAGTAGTTGCCAGATGACCTTTCAATCGACGCTGTCGAAGGCTTTTTCAAAGTCGATGAAGTTGAGATGGAGAGGTGACTGACTGCCATTGCAAGCTCTTTTCAATAATGATCTGTAGTGTGGCGATTTGATCAATACATGACTTGTTCCTCCTGAATCCGGCTTGTTCCGGTCGGAGTTTTGCATCCAGGGCTCGTTTGATTCTCTCCAGAATGATGCGGCTTAGTATTTCGCTTGGGATAGACAGGAGCATGATTCTACGCCAGTTTTTGCATTGACTTAAGTCTCCTTTCTTTGGCAGTTTTAATAAGTATCCGTTCTTCCAATCCTCAGGTACTTTGCCCTCTTTCCATACCTTCTCCATTAGTGGTGTCATCAAGTCCGCTGTTGTCTCTGGTTCCATTTTCAATGCTTCTGCTGGGATTCCATCTGGTCCTGCTGCTTTTCCAGCTTTTAGCATCTTGATTGCCATCAGGACTTCTGTTCTCGTCGGGTGGTTGATGTTCACTGGTAGTTCTGCTTCCGTTATTGGTATTGTTGTGCGCGTTGTAGGTGGCGGTCGATTTAGAAGTCTTTTGAAGTGTTCAGCCCAGTGTTTTCTTTGATGATTGACTTTCCATTGTCGTCCTTTATTGGCTTAATCTGTGTCGAACGTTTGCGCGAAAGGTTCCTAGTTGTTTGGTAGAGTGTGGCGAGGTCTCCTTTGCCTGCAGCTTGTTCTGCTTCACTTTCCATGGCTTCATAATATTTTGTTTTGTCTTCCCTGACACTCTTCTTTACTCTTTTGTTCAGTGTTTTGTAGCTTGAATTCAACTCCTGTTTTTGTTGCTCGTCGGTGCACTGGATAATCTTTTGTTTCATCATCCTTCTCTTTTCTATTAGTCTCCAAGTGTTCGTAGTGGGTCACTGTTTGTCCTGTCTTTTCTTTCTTCCCAGGAAGTCCATGCAGGTTTGACTCCACACCGCTTTCAGGTTGTCTCAGTGCTTCTCGACGCTGACCTCTTCGCTAGTGTTGATTTGTGTCTCCACCTTTTTCCTTATGTTTGCAGTGAAGATGTCCTTTGGACCCTTATCCTTCAGTTTTTGAGTATTGAACTTGGCTTGTGGTATATCTGCAGCTCCCCTTTCTTTGAAAGCTTTTAATTCGATTTGGAGTGTTCCTTGTAGCAGATAGTAGTCTGAGTCAAAGCCTGCTCCTCTTCTTACTTTTGTGTCCAGTAGGCTGTGCCTCCACTTCCTTGAGATTGAGATGAAGTCGATTTGGATTTTGGTTCGCCCATCTGGTGACATCTATGTAGCCTTGTGGATATCTTTGTGTTTGTACACGCTGCCACCAATCACTAATTCGTTGAAGGCGCAGATGTCGGGGAAGAGTTCTGCATTTTCATTAATCACTCCAATCGCCTCTCTACCCATGATGAGTTCCCTTCCTGTGTTGTCTGGTCCCAGTTTGGCGTTCATGTCTCCCATTAGTATTTTAATGTCACCAGCTGGAGTATTGTCCGTTGTTGCCTGTAGTTGTCTGTAGAATTCTTCTTTCTTTTCGATTTCTGCGTTGTTTGTGGGTGCATAGAGTTGTTTAACTGACACTTTCCTTCATTTGAAGTTGAATCTGTCAGTCATTATCCTGGGCGAGACCACTTCCCATTGCATTAGGGTCTTCGTCACTATTGGTGACGTCATGATAGCCACGCCCTCGGCGTGCATGTGGTTGTCTTCTGGGTGAGCGAAGTAGGTCACTGACTCTTTCGTTGACAGTTTGAAGAGTCCATCCTTGTTCCATCTGCTTTCCCATATAATCAGTGCGTGAATTCCGTATCTTTTCATCGCGTTTGCGATCTGAGCAGCTTCGCCAATCTCGTACATGGTGCGGACGTTCCAAGTCCCCACAAAGACTTTTTATTTTAGTGCAAGAGGATTCATCGGACTGAAGTTTGTGTAGCAACTATGTTTACAGGGTGGGTCTGCTAGCCTGACGTCTGAAAACGGGGTTGTTACATTGAAATAAAGTTTACAGAGTGGCGGCCTTATGGGTTGCTCCTCTAACAATAAGGAAAACAAGGAATAAAGTAATCGGAACAACACCAGCAAAAGGGAAGTAATTCACAACAGGAAGGGCAGCGACAACAACAATAAAAAAATAACCTTAGCAGTATTATCACAGTCAGATACAGTTAACAAAAATGATACCAAAATCATAGACTCACTGACTTGCGTTTAAATAAATATAAATAAATAATTAGAACATTTGTTAGTTGTTTTTCAATTATTTCTGTCCTATTCTTAGCGAGTTTGTTGTCATCTGATATAAGAGTCGTCAATTTACTAATATATACATCGCTATCCATTTCTGTCTCTACATCTCTACTAATATATCCATCTCTCTACCACTCCTGAACCTTTGTCAGTACGTGTTATTATTAAATCATTATTGTCTCTCAGTTCTTTAAGTTGTTGTCTATGTTCTTTTGTCAGAAGACGTCGGGCTTGAGTTTTTAAGCTGAGATACTGACTGCAGCAATCGAAGACCGTCGACTTAATTAAAGTGTAGGAATTCCGCATCGGAAACTGGAGTAATATCATGAGTTTGGCTTATGAGATTCTCCAATTGAATGTACGTATGAAGTCTGTTGCTGTTAAGATTGACGTCACAGAATTTAAGTCCAAGAGATAGAGCTTCTAGTTGTACCGTTGATAACGGGACTGAAGAGTGATTGAAGACAAATTTATTAGGATCACTGGAAAACTTATTCTAGACTTCGACAGTTTTCAGGCTTTTGTTGAAATTCGATTTGACATTTTCAGCTCTTCTGTTCTGAACCAGTGTAACATTATTCATTAAACGATTGTCTCTCGCTTGATGATAATTAGGAAAGAGCGGAAGATCTCTGTGATATGTTTCTCTGCAATTTGAATATACGTGAACTGATGGAATCGATGACGTTTCTAGTGTGGCGTTGAAGTGTTTTCGAAATAGGATATATATGTCGTCTACGCAGCGCTTTTCAGAACCATTTGGGATATTCACGATTATTAATACAGCTCTCGAAAAAATTCCAATTTTGCATTTAATTCGGCAACTTTGACAGAGTAACGTGGAAACCCATTGAGTTCCTTCACTGTCGTTGGGTCCTTGCTCTTTTTCAGATCATGGAGAATACCCATTACGTTATTAGCTGAACTTCGGGTTAGGCTGGAAATTTCATCCATCACCCCTCTGCCACCACTCACCCAACTACCCACCCAGATAAACAAACTTATCAACAACTTGAAGCGGTTCACCTGCAAGAGTGAATGCAGGTACAGGCTCCTGCCAATCTTGTAGCAGTACTTTGCGCCTAGACGGTGCAAAGCATATACCATACTTACA